CTACCGTTCACCAAATGCGGATTAATAAAATCCGTTAGGCCACGAGATACTTAATTCACCACGTGTCTCTATTTCTAGTTGTACTTAGGTTGGTAAGACCATATAGGTTGGTGCGTGACATAAAATTATTTTCTGGAGGTAATGTCATGACCCATCGCATCATTACGTCACTTTCGGTGATTGTCTAGTTGGCATATATAGCATAATGTTTACTCACGAGTCACCAGACTTTTCACTTAATTTTGCATAAATGTGCATGCATTAGCCCTTAAATGTTCTATCAATAAACACTTTAATTACACATTTATGTCACCGTAAAACACCTAGTGTTTTATTTCGGAAAAGTGTGCTTAATTTTCATCAAAAAGTGCTTTAATAACTTCCTAAAACAGTTTTCTAAAAATACTCAAACACTACTATTTGGATAGAAAATACAAGTGTTTTATTATATAATACACATGTTTTTAACTACAACAGTGTGTTTTCAATTAAAACGGTGTGTTTTAATGAAAAACATGAAAGTGCTTCCGTCATTTACAGTGTTAGTCGCCACGATAATTGCCATGAATGATGGTTCTAGCATAATTGTTTTGACTATTTTCACGAGAGCCCTAGTACTTTCATTTTAACTGTTATAAACACTTGTTTGTGTGGATGTCTCTTTGTCCGATAAGTCTGTACCGCTACGATGAATCAGTGTACTGCGAAATTACCAATATCGCACTTATGATGGTTATCTTCTGCACATGGCAAATCAATAAAACCACTTTTCCTACAATTAACTCACAATGTAATTCAGTGTCTACTAAATATCCTATCCTATCCTATATGTTTCTGTCAGTTTTCAGATAGTAACATCTTCTTCAATCTTACTTGTCGTTTCTCCAATAGTCTAACACACCAAATTCAGAGAACCCTAACTCCTCTAGTAAGGAGCATGAATTTAAACAGAAGGGAAATGCCTAGTCACGTACCTACGGATACAGGTTAAACTGTTGTCTGTTAGGAGTGTTGCAAAAGGTTTGAGCTTCCAGATGAAATTTCCGCCAAATCCACTTGTTACCATCTCCCGATCTGGATCTTCTACCTCCAAGGAGTTCTTGAGGTATGACTAAAATGTCCACTCTCCCGCTCCACTTCACCCCCAACATTGCTCAAGTGATGTTGCATGTATACCTGTGCATGTAATTTACATTAAAACAACACGTCACGCGCATGGCACTGATGAACGACCTGTATCATTCCTTCAGAACTCAAGTTTTGACTCATTCGATGATAATCGTTTTAGTCTATCATCATCAATCTCATTATTGCGGGTTAGGATGTGCTTTGGTCGTGTAGGGAAAACTGTCAACACATATATTAAACATGTCAGCTCATGTTGTAGAGTGGAGTGCGGAAAGGAAGAGGGATTAAAACAGGGAAATTTATTTGCAAGAGGCTTCTTAGAACAAAACAAATTTTTGCGATCTGTTCAGCAAAATCACCGCTGTAAAAAACAAAAACAATAAATTTGTCCAAGGCAGAAATGAAATGCCATATGTGTAGCTGACCTCTGATCGTAATGGTCGTCCCTACACACTGTTAGAACGCAAATCGTGTATGTTATAGAAATGCACACAATGTGCATGTAATTTACATTAAAACAACACGTCACGCGCATGGCACTGATGAACGACCTGTATCATTCCTTCAGAACTAAAGTTTTGACTCATTCGATGATAATCGTTTTAGTCAAGGTGAACTACATTTATGTTGACAGTCTAAGAAAACGGGCTCGTGATTTTGAACTCGCCTTAGCCTTTATCGCGAAACGTATTATATTATTCAGTACTTCCGTTTGGGAGATTCGGCCAATAATAAATATAGTGGATGTGATGAGTTTACATTTAATAGCTGATGGTGTAGATGCTGCTCTAGGCGTTATCCTTACTCATACCATAGTTCTACTTATACATCTTACTCATTAGCCTAATATTTGCAAACCCGTACATAGTTTAATTGGGTAGCAAAGAGGTGCAAAGGTCAAGACTAATCACACATTAGCACGTGACCGCGTGACAAATAGGTGATCAATAAAGTTATTGTTGAGACCCCGGGCTCAAGCATTCAGTTTCAGTGTATTTATTGTTTTCGGTGTAATAGTGCTTACTGTGTGTGATTGAGATGTGGATTACATTGATGTCTGTATTTTAAGAGAATCTGAAACATTGCTATTTAATGACTATGGCGGATATAATTCACAGTCGTGACGTCAATATTACTGACCATAGATCAGCAATATTCACAGTAAACGTCATTTGTGCTAAAACAGTACGCGAAAAAAACGTGCGACAGTACCGTATTTTATCGTTGCTATTTAAGGAATATCGCAAGAATAGAACGTGGTACCACTTAGATCCATTGCGCGTATGAGCGTAGCGCACAACGTGGCAGTCAATACGTTGGTATTATTAGAGGACAATGCAAATTAAATTATGGTGGCTCGTCAGTGATTAAAGCTACGTCCGTTGTGGTTACATACATAGTATACATTGGATTTGACCTTCACACAAGAAAAGGAGCGGTATATTCTGCAATTCTATGTGTAATGATAACGTTACAGATATTAAAATAATGGCTATGAAGACTGCAAGATTATGAAGCATCTGGACGTGTATGGTATTGGTATACCCTTGCTTCATCAATATTTACTACCTTATACTAAAATATATTTGAATATTTAGAGTACTAACGAATTCCAACTTATGGTCTGGTTAGACTTATTCACTTTTGAGATATAATTGTTGGTATGTCTTGGTTCTTGGATATCTAAGCTTCGTCGTCCTGTACTTCATTTAGTAATTCGAACTTCCCAGTTTGCGTAAAAAGGGAGAGTTTCGCGATTTTGACATCGAAAATGCCTTTGCTTCATTATTTGCTGAGGGACGGCCGCTTAGGTACGTGCTCTGCAAGTTGCAGCGCATAAACCTAAACATGTTAGGTAATCAAATTCACGGGAAGTTGACAATCCTTAATACTGCTAAATCGCCAGTTGTGAACTTTATCAGGATTCCCGTATGAAGTTACACATCATTCTAGCAAGGACAAATATTGATTAGTACTGTTGTGCAGGTTATATAATAAAATATGAAATAATTAATATTTCATTTTTGTTAGTATATCTTTATTTATTAAAATATGTACACAATATATCCAATTGGGATGGGTATTGCCAAGCAAGTTTATAAAATTATAAACAAATATTTTCGTAAATAACACTGACTGCGAAATACGCCTTTGAGAAGTATTACTGATGAATACTTTATATTGCAATTTCTTTCAATTTGAATTAGTTGTATTGCAATGCATTAGTAGTAGTAGTAATAATAATAATAATAATAATAATAATAATAATAATAATAATAATAATAATAATAATAATAATAATATTTATTGCATCTTTAGAAATACAGTATTTCTATCAGTACATTAGCAATAAAAGTATAAATAATGTAAATATATACATTCCTTTATTTCATTGTTGAGACTGAGTTATATAGTTTGTTACGTACTACAATTTATCTATATTGAAAAACGGTTATGGGGATTATTAATTTCAATAAACAATATTCAACTGTCCTTTGCAACACCAATACGATCATAATGATAATGTTTCTTGGTCTTTGTAACTAGAGGCATTATCAGAGCATGGGTCTTATTTTGGAACTCCTGCTAGGATGGTATTCCCAGAATAGCACCAGTTGTTAAAGAAACATAAAACTTTAATTCTCAACAAGGATGAAAGGACCAGTTACTGGGACAAAGCCCTACTCCCCGCGAAACCCTACAGATACGAAACCCAATTACCGCGAAAGCCACTCACAGCGAAGCTACTAGTGACCATCATCAAATGTTTATACCATTATCAAACATGCACATACCCACCCCACGTTTGTCTCGTCCGATTTGTTGACGCCACTACGATCTTTGTTTTACCTTCGATTTCAAGCATAACGCGGGATCTCGCAGTGAACGAGAAATGGTCTGATACTATGATTAGCGCCATCCTGCGGTTGTGTAACATAATTCAGTTAGCTACTTTATTCCGTATAATACTAATAAGTGTAGACTGGCCCAGTTGTGGTGATTTTTAAAAAAACTGGAAAAAATAGTTTTGCGAAAGGTGGGGTGAGCGCGAAATCACCACAGACTGGTTATATTTGCAGCTAATCTGTTGCTATTATTTATTCATAATATACAGTGACATCACTGAACGGATACAGAAAAGGAGTGGCGTGCGCGGTGCATAAAGAGATAAACATTGTGGGTCGCGTTAAAGATCAACTTGTCGACAGTGCCAAACTGTTTTTCATCTAAACAGAACGGAACAACTTCAAATGCAATTAATTTGCCGCTTCCACACGGAAGCATAGGCGCTCGGAACGTTTCATAAATAATGACCTAAAGTAGGGTCGGCATAGTCAGTCAGTCGCGGTACATTCTCCTATCACTCATAAAATAATGTACCTACTTACCGACTAACTATGCCGACCCAAAAACACACTAGCTCCTGTTTCCACCACAGAGGGCGCGGCAAAAACGTCCAGTCTGGGTGATTTCGCGGTTACAGGGGATTTCGCGTTAACACCTCTATTTCGCTATTTTTTTATTTAATTTTAAGTTTAAAAAGAAATAAATCACCCACACTGCCAGTCTATAATAAATGAAATATACGATAATACGCCGCACATTGT